TTCTCTAACCCACAACTCCCAACAACTTCTACTCACATCTTCCAAGGACAATCACTGCTAACATTTTGGTGTATACCCTTCTAATCCTTTTTCTATATACATATGTATTTTTTTTAAGAAGACAAATTATTGGTTAAAAAAATTTTTTAAATCTCATTTAGAATTCTATATGGCTCTCAACAGTTTATACCACCACACAAGTCTGTTATTCCTTTACTTTTTTTTAAAGGCAATATGCACCTGGGAGTGGGAATGGGGGAAATACAACCTAGAGAGGTAAAAAGTGAAAAATTAAAGCCTCACTTTGCTAGAGGTCTTTTCCATACAGCCAAACACTGTTAATAGTTTCATGTGACAATTATTCTATAAAAAATTCAATATGGCTAATGTTGTAAAATGAAAAACAGGTCAGGGCAGGTTTAAACTTCCAATATATTTGAAAGAGAGTATGTTAGGGCTTAAAAATAAGGTCTGTAGCATTGGGAACAAAATCAAGGTGATAACTGCTCTCAAAAATCCAATGGTGGGCCGCCCCCGTGGCTTAGCGGTTAAGTGCGCGCACTCCGCTGCTGGCGGCCCGGGTTCGGATCCCGGGGGTGCACTGACGCACCGCTTCTCCGGCCATGCTGAGGCCGCGTCCCACATACAGCAACTAGAAGGATGTGCAACTACGACATACAACTATCTACTGGGGCTTTGGGGGAAAATAAATAAATAAAATCTTAAAAAAAAAAAAAATCCAATGGTGACTTCTGGATTGAGATTTTGCTGTTGTTTGTTAGTTATTAGTATCCTCCTTAGATATACTAAGATATAACACTTAAAGAAAATTTTCCAAGAGAAACCTTTGAAAAAAATAGCCATGTTAACACAAGCTCAACAATTAATTTATTAAATCATTCATAGACATTGGTCTGAAGACCAACCATCTCTGACATATATGAAATCCTCATGGGGTAGATGGGCACAGTAATTATGACTATGCTGTATCAGGGGATTGCAGCATCTAATAAAGGGCGTAGGTAATCTTATTTCTTATCACCCTTGCTCTAGATGAGAGATTAACAATCTTTGTAATTTAGAATGCTCCAGGAGGGCATAATGAATAGATGCTTCCTGAATGAGTCAATGAATGAATGAGAGCCAAGTGGTACTGGCAAGTATAAAATGAAGGGAGAGAGAGAGCTAAAGGGGGGTTACTCTATACAAAGTAAGTTCCAGGTAGATTCAACAGGAAAAGGCTAACAGATCTGACTATGTACAAATTAAAATCGCTGTTGGTTAAAGACATTCTAAACAGTTACCAGATAAGCGGCAACGACTTCTAGTTAAAAAGTAGCAGACTTAATCCGTGCCTTTTAAATCTTCACTCCAAAGAAAGTAAAAGGAATAACAAGTATAAAAGTACAAAGACAAAGAGAAAAACAGACAGGAGTAGATCAGCAAAACTTTAGAAGGGGGAAAGTGGACATGTGAGCAGTAACTCATTTAACAGAGTGGAAGATGCTAAAACCAAATACCTTTAGAAGGGGAAGACAAGAAGAAGCAAACAGACTTCAAAGGCTTCAGGAATTAGAGGCACCACGTACCAGTGAAATTAGGAGTGGGGATGAGGGACAAAAAACAGGATTAATTAAAACTGGTTTAGGGAATAGTTAGATCTCCCATGTCCCATCTTCCCCATGCACCTCTAGATGACGACACTATCCATTCCCAAAGAAGATGGGCAGTTTATTTCTGGGTGAAATTAAAATGGGGAAGAGGAATAAGTCACTGAGTTGATAAGAGGGGAATTAAGTGAAAGTCTGCACGCTGAATGGTGAGACACGCCCCCGTCCAGTCCCGTCCCCTGCACGGTTCTCAGAGCACAGTCAATGCCTACAGCCTCAAGTCAGCAGTTGGAAGACTTCTTACTGGAGAGACTCAATGCAAAGCACTATTAACTATGGAGTTGTGATGGTCTCCAAATTGGCTCCTTCCCAACCCCTCTGAAATGAAGCCCACTAGCTGACAAGTCTCAGCATGTACACAAATCCAATAAACAGCTTTTTATGGTCTTGAACTCTAAAGTATGAACAAACATCCAAAGAACAGCAGACATTTTAGGAAAACCTCTAATATAAGTGAAAAACACCTTAGCAAAAACTGATACCCACCTAACAAAATCCATTTTCCATTTTTATCAAAGTAGAAGAATTAAAAACCCTTATGTGGCTGTTCAGCAACATTACATTTTCCAGCCCCCTTTGGGTGAGGCGTGGCCATACAACTACATTTTCACCAATGGAATATGAACAGAAGTGATGTGTGACATTTTCAAGCCAGAGCCTTTAAGATAGTAGAATTGCTTACACTATACCCTCTTCTCCCCTTCTTGTAAGCCTGAGCACAACGCTCCTGTGATTCACCTTTAATGATGCACATGAGGAAGATACAATGTGCACTTCCCTTCCCTACGGCAGGGAAGATACAACGGAAGAAACCTGGATCCTTGGACAACTGTGTGCAGCACAGCTGCTTACTGATCTGGAACTTGAACTATTATATCAAATAAATTTCTATCCTGTTGAACAATTGCATTTGTGGGGTCTCAATGAAACAGCAGCTAGTGTTAACCTAATACAAACTCCAAAACAAAAAGAAACTTTGAGGACGCTAAAAGAATGTTGGTAGCAGAAGAAAATCAATCTAATACCAGGAATAACAACAATTTTTAAAAAGGTGGGGGAGGTTAGAAGTTAAAAATATGATATTAGAAACAAAAACCCAAGAGAAAGGTTGTAAGATAAAGTTGAGGAATGTTCCCAGAGCTTAGAACAAAAAGAGATAGAGAAGAGATTAGGAGACCTAAATTATCAAATAAATAATAAAAGAAAATTTCTCCAGAATGGAAGAATAAAGTTCCCAGATTAAAGGCCCCAATGGTGCCTAGAACAATGATTTTAAACAAATAAAATCCCTTGCCAAAGATCATCATTCTGAAACTTATGAATATTATAGTCATACTAATATAAACAATGAATACAGATGGAGCAAAAATTATGCTATATCTATATCGAGAGGATGAGGGGAAGACACACACACTAGATAACATCTAAAATGGATAATAGAATTAGGCATATAATTTAGAAATATAAAAAATAAAATACAGCTGAAAGATTGAAAGAGGTTGGCTCTGAGAAAACCTGATTAGGTAACAAAAAGAATTGCTTTATATTAAACTATAAGCTTACTATGACTTTAAAAACTCAAATTAATTTGTAAAGAAAGAGACAGACTAGGAGACAATATTTCCAACTATGTAAGAGTCGAAGTATTAAAGTCTATAATATATATCAAGTTCCTACAAACTGATAAAACAACCTAACAGATAAAGTCAAAGGATATGAAGATGTAAGTCACAGAATACAAAATAGCCAATAACCATACAAAAAGATGCAGAATCTGGTTAGCAATCCAGGAAATGCAAATAAAAACACCAATGATACCACTTTTGCCCTGAATATTTGAAAGATTAATAAATATGCAGCATTAGGTGAGGTGTGGAGAGACAGATTTTCATACAGTTGGTTGAGAGTCAACTGGCTATCTTTTTAGAAGAGAATGTGTCAATACTTACTGCAATGTAAAATATACCTATTGTTTGACCCTTCTAGGAATTAAAAGTACTCAAATATGTACAGAAGGACAAATATAGGGCCGACCCTGTGGCTTGGCAGTTAAGTGCACGCGCTCCACTGCTGGCCGCCCGGGTTCGGATCCCGGGGGCGCACCGGCACACCACTTGTCCGGCCATGCTGAGGCCACGTCCCACATACAGCAACTAGAAGGATGTGCAGCTATGACATACAACTATCTACTGGGGCTTTGGGGAAAAAAAAGGAGGAGGATTGGCAATAGATGTTAGCTCAGAGCCGGTCTTCCTCAGCAAAAAGAGGAGGATTAGCATGGATGTTAGCTCAGGGCTGATCTTCCTCACAAAAAAAAAAAAAAAAGGGATACATGTTATATAGTAGATGAAACACAGCATACTACATTACTGTATATACCATAAAAATACACAAAATATTAAGAATTTGTTAAAGGATTTGTAAGTCTCTAAAGTTCTCCTATATGAAGTAATACTTTATGAAGATATAAGACTAAATATTTCTGATATTAAAACTTCCATTCCATTTATTAATCAAAACAAATGAAAAGTTATCAAAAATTAAAATATTACAGTGACAGCATACTACTACAAAGGTTAAAATAGGGACTACATTTTCCTAAGACTTACTGAGGTGCTTCCAATTTCTAGCTAATCTTACCATAAAAGTAAATGAATCTCTTCTAATTGAAAATACATCTATAAAATTCAATGAAAATGTTTAGCTGATGACAGCATGAGTGCCATAAAAAATTAAGAGCATAGTAATACTGTTTTCCTTTCCTTGACTGAGGAAGAGGTAACATTTCCAGAAAAATCTCCAGGAAAGTAGATAATATTTTATTACCAGCTGAAAGCATCTAGGTACGCAGCGAAAGAATTTCAAAGCCTCCTAAAATTTGTGCTTTGAATGGCTTTGAGTACAAGAAACTTAAACCTCATTAATGCAATGGTTTTATGAATAAAAGATACTGGCATAAGACTTTAAGAGTTGTAATGTTCTCTAAAATTGAAGTATAATCTCATACCCAGTATTTAATGAATTAGAAGATTTACCAGGTAATCTCTTGCTTAGCAACTAGAAAACTGTCATCATTTGCAGTTCTCAACACTTTTATATCATAGAAATTCATGATGTATTTCTGTCATATAATTTTACTTCTTCAGTTTCCTCATCAAACGTCTAGAATTAAGCGAAATTGTAACGTTCTTTTTAAAAACACTGTCAGATTTCTTTTAGGACACCACAAAGATGTCTATACAAAGTTTCAAGATTCATGTAAATATCTAGACATCTGCCAGATTGACTCTCAATCACAGAATTTTACAAATGTCTGAACTTAAGACTTACCCGCTTCATTGTTAATTGGGAACTCCCACAGTTTCCCCTCTTTTGTCCACTGGATCATCTGTTCAAAACCATTCTGAAAGGGCTGTTCATTTACTGCGGCTAACTGCTTAGCAAATTCCACATCCCACAGTGAAGGTGCTGTCTCTGTATAATAAAAACATTCCAAATTAGCACAAGTCAATGTAAATATCTTTATTTCTAAAAGTGTTACAATCAACTCTGCACTGGTAATACATTTTCAGACTTTGAAGCTCATAATTAAACAGTATATAATGAAAGGTCACTCTCTGAGAGCTAAAATTGAAACAAAAATGATACATCAAGACTACAACTACAAAAATGGCAAGCCTTAACTTTTGTTTTACTACAATGCTATGTAATCAACCCCTAAAGTCTCACTGCCCCCTCTACTGGAAAGGAAAAAAGAAATGTGTATTTTGTTTAAGGATGTTCTAATGAATGTGAATATTTTTTGGTTTTTTTGTTTTTTGTGAGGAAGATCAGCCCTGAGCTAACATCTGATGCTAATCCTCCTCCTTTTTTGCTGAGGAAGATTGGCCCGAGGAAGATTGGCCCTGAGCTAATATCTGTGCCCATCTTCCTCTACTTTATATGGGACGCCGCGACAGCATGGCTTGACAAGTGGTGCGTAGGTCTGCGTCCAGGATCCGAACCTGTGAACCCTGGGATGCCAAAGCAGAGCACGCGCACTAAACTGCTTGCACCACCAGGCCGGCCCCCGAACGTGAATATTTTTTATTCAACATGTGACTTTAAAATCCAGGTTGTTTATTTTTAGTCTGTTAAGATAAGTCACTAATGTACTACTAATAAAGACCAAAGAAGTTAAATTAGCATAATTTAATAACAATGATAATGACACTACAACTAATGGATATTGAGCTCTTTCTCTGTGCTTTTTTTTCTTTTCTCTTTTTTTTGGCTGAGGAAGACTGGCCCTGGGCTAACATCTGTGCCCATCTTCTACTTTATACAGGATGCCGCCATAGCATGGCCTGACAAGTGATCAGAACCCGGGCCGCCAGCAGTGGGGCTCGTGCACTTAACCACTGCGCCAAGAGGCCGGCCCCTGTGCTAACTGCTTTTTATGCATTAGTTCATTTTTTTTTTTTTTTTTTTTTTGGTGAGGAAGATCAGCCCTGAGCTAACATCCATGCCAATTCTCCTCTTTTTGCTGAGGAAGACTGGCTCTGAGCTAATATCTATTGCCAATCCTCCTCCTTTTTTCCCCCAAAGCCCCAGTAGATAGTTGCATATCCTTCTAGTTGCTGTATGTGAGACGCTGCCTCAGCCTTGCCGGAAAAGCAGTGCGTTGGTGCATGCCCAGGATCCGAACCCGGGCCGCCAGTAGCGGAGCACGCACGCTTAACCGCTAAGCCACGGGGCCGGCCCCTGCATTAGTTCATTTAATCCTCACAACAACTCTACAAGTAAGGTAATATAATGTTAGCTTATGACCACCATCATATCACATGTTTCAATCATTGATTTGCTTTGGAAATTGAAGACATCTTTTAAGAATGAGTCGTATTCCCACTAGTCATTGCTGGTGGGAATGCAAAATGGTACAACCACTTCAGAAAGCAGTTGGGCAGTTTCTGAAAAAGTTAAGGATATACTTATCATACAACAATTTTACTCCTAGATATTTACCTAGAAGAAAACACACAACCATACAAAGACCTGTACACCAAAGTTCATGTGTGACCATGGCTCACCACACACTGACTGCGGGATATTGAGTGTGTTGGCCTAGAACATCTGACACAGAGAAAAGATCACTGCAGTTAGGCTTAATTAGCCACATTTGCAGAGTAAGCATACCAGTAAAATAACTTATCATGGTCATTTTTTTTTCTTATTCAGTGAACACTGATCAACTTAGGTCTTTTCCATGATCATCATCACCAACACCACTGTTAACAGCTGCAACTATTGAATGTCCAGTGTTCCAGGCACTGTGCCTGACACTTTAACTACATTACCTCATTTAATCTTTGAGATGTAGGTATTAGCCCCATTTTACAGCTGGGGAAAGGGAGACTCAGAGAGGTTAGTACAGCAGAATCTGAGTTTGAATAACCAGATCTACCCAACACCAAAACTCTTTTCCATTAAGGTACACTGCCTCTCAGCTCTAAATTACTCCAGGATAAGCAGTAGGGTCTATGACTATATCCTGTGCAGCAGTGCTAAGAACTTAGTGGGGAGCAAAATGTGGGAATCATGGGACAGAAGAACTCATTCATTCAGTCAATAAATAATTATTGAATGCCAACTATATGCCAGGTATTATTTTAGGTGGGAGGGAAACCGCAGTGAATAAATGCTAAAATTAGGTTTGCCCATTGTTCTTACCCTTGTATTTAAATGGGAACAAAAGACATTCTTTTTTTTTTGAAGAAGATTGGCCCTGATGGTTCTCAGGGCAGGCTACCCCAGGAGGCACCACTCTGGTATGCGGATTATTTTGAGCTGAAGACAATAAGGACTCAGAGACTCAGGAAGAATATTTGAGTTTCCCCTCCCAAACTGCCTAAAGAATTTAAAACAAAAGATCTGTTTCAGGAAGGAGTTATTATCATGATGGCTGTAAAGATAATGTAGGATAGAGGTTACAATAGGAAAGGCACCAAGCCCCTTTTATCAAACTCTGTCCCTCCCTGACCACATTATCGATAGATGACCCTGAAAAGAATTGTCTTCCTGCCCTCTGAAGTCCCAGACCACTACCCACCCCCAACACACTCCTCGCCTTTAGCTGCAATACTTAAGCAAGCAGCTTAGCCAGAGGGATGAGTTGCTCATTTCTGAGTTTCTCCCATGTATACATGTTATTAAACTTGGTATTATTTTCTCCTGCTAACCTGTCTTGTTGATTATTTGGCCAGCAATAAGAACCTTAAGGAAAAGGGTAGAGGGAGATTCTCCCTCTCCCCCAACAGCCCTGAGCTAACATCTGTTGCCAATCTTCCTCTTTTTTTCTTTTTTCTCCCCAAAGCCCCAGTACATAGTTGTGAATCATAGTTGTAGAATTACGGCTCTCCCATATGGGACGCCGCCTCAGCAGAGCCGTGAGTTGGTCTGCGCCCAGGATCCGAACTGGCAAAGCCCAGGCCACTGAAGCGGAATGCACGAACTTAACTGCTACGCCACCGGGCTGGCCCCAAAAGACATCCTTTAGACTCATGCAAGTATAGCTTACTAAAACGGTACCTTCATTAGAGTAAATTTCCATAAAGTTGTGCATTATTTTCCTTATTAGAGTATAATTATTTTATATTGTTTTATAAAATACATATAATTCAGTACTTTCTTGCCAGCTAATTTCAGTTTTAGGAATAAGATTTCTGATTTAAAAAAGCGAGCTAGTTCCTTCAAGAACCAAGTGCCTCTTCTGGCTGTTCATTAGATGGACAACAGCAGTTGCCCTGACAACAAATTCCCTTTTTGAGGCAAGCTTAACAGCTGCCACTTCAACAGGGGAGAGGCAATCCATTCTCCATGCCTGTATTTTCTATTCCCTTTTCATCAGACAGGACAGAAAGCAGTTTTCATAATAGAAGAAGACAAGTTGTTCTCTTAAGCTTCACCTTCAGTTTATTTATTTTTTTTGTGAGGAAGATCAGCCCTGAGCTAACATCCATGCCAATCCTCCACCTTTTTTTCCCTTTTTCTCCCCAAGGCCCCAGTAGATAGTTGTATGTCATAGTTGCACATCCTTCTAGTTGCTGTATGTGGGATGCCGCCTTAGCATGGCTGGACAAGCAGTGCGTCTGTGTGCGCCCGGGATCCGAACCCGGGCTGCCAGTAGTCGAGCGTGCACACTTAACCGCTAAGCCACGGGGCCCGCCCCTTCACCTTCAGTTTAAATGAACAAACACTGATTGAATTAACTCCTCTCTTCTATGGATATATATTTTACAGCTCAATTTGTTCAAAAAAGGATTTAAGATAACTAATTTCTATTATCTGTAAGCCAACTGGCTAGGTACTACTGGGTATACAAAAATCAATGAGACCTAGCTCCTAATATCAAGGAGTTTATCGAATAGTGGGAAAATAAGATATTGTTATATAAGTAACTGATAGAAAGATTTTTTTTTAATAAAATTAACCATTTTATAATTTTATTTATTTATTTATTTTTTCCCCCAA